TTGTACTAGTCCGGACTGATGCCGATTTATAGTGCTAGCCCACTGAGATACCATGCCGCAGTTTAACATGAATACCCCACTCAGACACAGTTTACTGACTCCGAGCCGACCAGTCCTTGTTTTAGCCCCTTAACGCCGAGCGCCAGACAGGGTAACAACAAGTACCATCTTTTAACGTCTTTTGGTATGACGCGGCCGGGGATCGAACCCCGGACCTTCCGCTCTCCGGGCGGACGCTCTACCACTAGACCACGGAGGCGGTCCCAACACCATGATTTTGAGCAAATACCGTGATCAACCTTTGTTGGATAACTCAGCCTACCATACTTAGTTGTGATCAAAATATTGATGATCAAATAAGTTCACCCAGCATGATATAAGCGACAAGTCGACTCGGGTCGATTCGGCTTATTCCGCTTCGCACGTTATCTCGCGCAGCAAAAGAGAAGTGGTTGGTTGGTTTGTTGTTTTACGCCACATTCAGCAAAATGACGGCGGTCTGTAAATAATCGAGTCTGGACCAGACATTCCAGTGATCGATATCATGAGCACCGATCCACGCAATTGGGATCGATGACATGCATCAATCAAGTCAGCCAGCCTGACCACCCGATCCCGTTAGTCGCCTCTTACGACAAGCATAGTCGCCTTTTACGTCAAGCTTGGGTTGCTGAAGACCTATTCTACCCCGGATCTTCAAGGGTCCAATAGAGTAGTGATATGAATTTTACTGTAAACCGTGTAACGCCAGATCCCTATGACATGACGGACATACTGAGGGCATGGTAGTCCCGCACTTAACAGAGGGCATGGTAACAGACATCAGATATACATTTTGATCTGTTGACAAGAGCGAACGGAAAGAGTTGTCATCCGTTATAAAAGGAATCAGCCATAAAAAAATTCAAGACTGTCACCATGTTAAATTGAGGCACGTGGTGGTCACGTGTACGAAAGTAGTTCTAATATGGATTCCCGCTCGCCCAGGTGCTGTTGGGCGGAGACGATCCGATTGAAAACAACTGCCTTCCTTTTCCTTTTGCTTAGTAAATAAAGGACGGATACCAGGATCCGCTGCTTGGGAGTTCAAATCCAGACTCAGCCGGATATGATCCTTAGTGTTAACACAATATCGGGTGGATTTGTTCAAAATTTAGAAACAATATGCGTCAATTTGGGTTTTTCTTCCATATTAAGCTTAAGATCACAAGCCGTTAACTAACTAAACTATTGATCAAAGCAGCAAAAGTACATGTTCTTCAACGCCGCAATCGGCAATATTACAGCTGAATCACGTCAGCCTGTACATAACGGAGTCTGGTCAGAGCAAACCAGTGACTGAAAGCATGAGCACCGATACAGGGAAACTGGGTAAGGAGAGCGATTTGATGTTTTGATTTTATTTCTCTGGTAGGTTAGAAAACTATAGAAATTTAATTCTAATGTGCCTCTTTTGGCCACGCCCCCTGTGGTTCGAGGTGCAAATGTCGGAATCCGGTTCAAAAACGAAATTTGAAAAGTCTTTTAGTAACAGTTCTTAAAAATACAATTGTCAATTTAGGATTTTCTTTCATAATAAGCTTAAGCCAATGAGTCGTTATATGACGGAACAACTGTTCATGATCCGTAGTTTGTGTTGTCTAAGGCGCCGCGATTCGCTGTGCAGAGTTCCGTCCCTTTGGCACGCCAGAAACCTATGATTGTGGGTTCAGTTTCCGGTTCGCCCCGATTATGTTTCTAGGTTTGTTAGCACCATACCCGTGCTCGTGGGTTTCCCACATTAAGCATATAACTGGAATAATGTTAAAATCCGTGTTAAACCCAACTCACTCACTCACTCACTCATGATGAAACATTACGAAAATGTGCCCTGGATTTTGAGAATAAGCTAACAAAGCCCTGTTTTCAGTTGAAGAATGATCAGAAAAAACGAACAGATGACAAACTAGGAAATATTGCAGAATACAAAACAAAACAAAACCTGTTTAGTCCGGACGGCGCTAATCTGAAGACCTCACATGTCGGTGACTGATGGAGACGTCTACAGAAATATAAATGGACGTAACTCTCTACCCACGAGTTGTTAATTCGCACACGTTAATCTGGAAGATTAACTGATTTATGTATATAAGTAAATAACAAAAGTTACTGACTGATAAAAATTCAAATAATATTCGACCAGTGATCCGGGGTAGAATAGGTCTTCAGCGACTATGCTTGTCGGAAGAGGCGATTAACGGGATCGGCTGGTCAGGCAAGGTGAATGGTTGATTGTGTGTCATTGTAACCCGACGCCGTGGATCGTTGCTCATCATATCGATCACTGGATTGTCTAGTACAGACACGTTTATACACACACCGCTGTCGTGTTTGGAATATTGTCAAATGCGGCGTTAAACAAACAAACAAAAAAATAGAAAAACACATATAAATATTTGTGCCTCGTATCATGGGCTACATGCGCATCTACAGAAAGAGAGGATAGGCGAAAGAAAATGAAAAATATTGACAATAAAATACCCCCTGAACATTTGATATTATATTCATTTGGTTTAGAGACAGGATATATGTTCAGCCATTCCTTCCAAAGACATAATGTCTCCCTCTCTTTTTTCCGGACTACCAGGGTGATCAGCGAACGTTGTTTGTTTAAACCCTGCATTTCTTTCTCAAACAATTGGGGGGCGGTCGCGTAGCCTAGTGGTTAAAGCGTTCGCTCGTCTCGCCGAAGACCCGGGTTCAATTCCCGACATGGGTACAATGTGCGAAGCCCATTTCTGGTGTTCCCCGCCGTGATATTGCTGGAATATTGCTAAGAGCAGCGTAACACCATGCTCACTCACTCAAACAAATGGTCGGTCCCGAAGTCATGTGTTGTTTAAGATATGTGACAAAAAAACGATTCACAAAGTAATCGAACTCGGGCTTTCACAGTGACATACAGCTCAGTTTTGTTTTGAAAATGGAAATTCGTTAATACAAGTTCTAGTTTGGGGTAATATTCAAGCTGGCGAACGGGTTTGAAAGGAATACTTGGGTAGAATAGGTCTTCAGCAACCCATGCTTGTCCTAAAAGACGACCATGCTTGTCGTAAAAGGTGACTACTTGGATAGGGTGGTCAGGCTCGCTGACTTGGTTGATGCATGTCATCGATCCCAATTGCATGGATCGATGCTCACTAGATTGTGTGGTCCAGACTCGATTATTTACAGACCGCCGTCATATAGCTGGAATATTGCTGCATGCGGCGTTAAACAACCAACAAACCAACCAACAGTGAAGAACATGTTGTTTATCCCTGTCACACTGATTGGATGGTTTTATGAAACTGAAAATGGTCGACCATAAAAAATAATGAAAAATTCAAGATTGAAGGTGATGGAAAAGGCAACCCACAACCCTCGCCTTCACAAAATCAGCTTGTGTTTCCCATGTATGTTCAAATGCATGTCAAGTAACAGTCAATGTGGGTATAAAATTATTCATTCCAGATGCAAATGAACTGCACAGTTGGACGCTAAAAATGTGACGTTTTGCGAATACTTTTATTTCTTATTATCTGTGTAACCCCTTAATAATGGTGCTTACATGAAATTAAGTCGTCTCAACGGTCGCAAGAACTTGTATCTGTTTGTGATGAGATTGAAGTAATCTAAGCATAGGATTAATCCCGTTTTGTTTGTTTAAAGCATTAATTATCCCCCGCCCAACAAAGTTTGCGGGGGATATAGAAACGGGCGACGTCCGTCCGTCCGTCCGTCACGTTTCGTTTCCGGAGCATAACTCAGAAACCGTTCAATATTTTTTCCTGAAACTTTGCAGGTATGTCAGGTACATGCTGAACTGGTGCCTTTTGCTATTTAGAAATTTTAGAAATTTGTATTTTTTACGTTTCCATGGCAACAAGATGGACTTAGGTTCCAAACTCTTATTTCTTTACAATTTCAATGACAAGTTCCACCTCGGTTAAAAAAATTAGGGTTTGTTTAGATTTAATTATGTCATAAATTCTGCAACAGTGGTGGGGGATATAGCCACGTTAGTGGCAAACTCTTGTTGTTTATTGTTAAGCAAGTTTTCTCTGCAGCCGTCGTAGTATGCAGCTACTAGCAGACTTGTTTCTCATCAAAACACGGGCTGTGAAGTAGGGGGCAGATGACCACGGAGTATGCTGATCACTGTGTCGGATTAACGAGACTGATTAATAATTTTGATTTTGGTAATTTATTACAAATTAGGTGTGTCGGAGTCACAGCGCGAGACTGTCGAATTAACGGGTCTAAATAGCACTGATTTAATCAGTTCCCATCATTATCGGATAAGGCGTTAAACAAGAAACAAACAATTAAACAAACATTTATTATATATTTAAGTAGTAATTTAGGACGGACGGGAGATGAAAAACACAAATTATACAGATGACTTAACGCCTCTAACACATCAAAACCCGATGGTTTCCCCAATACCGCTAAACAAAGATCTGAAAACATCCCATTAGGGGTCACGTCAGAACGACCTTTTTTCATCCGACCAATCAGTGCGTCGCTTACCAGATTATGAAAGTGACACTCGGAATGTGATTTCTAATCATGCAATCAAGAAAACTTTAACATGGGTATTCCGAACGATAGTTACGGGTTTAACGACTGAATCCTTACAATCTAGACCTGCATCTATTAGCCATTCCAGAATGTTTTTTTGTTCAGGTTTCAAATTTGTAATCGAGAATTTGTCAAAATATGTTTCGAAGCGCAGTCGCCAATTTGAAATTTGTGCCGTAAAGCACGAGAAAGCTGCCTTCTGATTGGTCATTCCGTTTGTCGGTCAAAGTTCGTGCAAGGTCGGTCTGACGTGACCCGTAATGGGATGTCCTCAGATCTTTGTTTAGCGGTAGCGAGAACTAAGGTCTGGTTTTAGAAAGATTGATGGTTTCCCTTAATTAAACTGATACATCATTGAGCATTTTATTCCTTTTAGTTTTCTGCATTGTCTTTTTCAGTTGATAACGACGAGGGAGTGAGATGCATCATGGGTAGACGTGCGTCACATCGTATGTTCCGGGACTTCCTGTGCAGCCTCGTTATCGGCTTTCTGACCGGATACATCACCAGTCACACCGTCCTCGTTGTCCTGTGGCGCCGACAGGAGGCGGCGTGCAGGTCGCCGGGGGGATGGGGACGGCCACGCCCTCCACCCACAGATCCCAAGCCGCTGTGTGACTCGGACATTCCCACGGAGAGACTTGTGTTCATCGGCGTGATGACCGCCAGGAGGTATCTCAAAACACGAGCTGAAGCTATTTACAAAACATGGGGAAAACATGCTCCTGGCCGGCTTGTGTTTTTTGTGGGGACGGGCGAGAATTATGAAACATCGCTGCCGGTGATTGTGTTGAGCGACGTCGCCGACGACGAGTACCCGCCGCAACGGAAGTCCTTCGAGATGCTCCGCCACATGTCCAGCCAACACGGCCACGACTTCCACTGGTTCGTGAGACTCGACGACGACGTGTTTGTCAACACGGAACGCCTCCGGACTTTCCTCAATTCCATCAACAGCTCTCAACACTTGTACATGGGGCACCCGGGTACGGGTAAGGCGGACGAGAAGGGAAATTTAGGTCTCCATGACGACAAGCCTTACTGTATGGGAGGTCCGGGGGTGATCCTGAGCGGCCCCACCCTCAGGCAAGTTGCACCCCACCTTCTGGGCTGCCTGAACGACACCGTGACGTCACATGAGGACTCGGAGCTTGGGAGGTGTGTGGAGAAGGTGACGAGTCTGTCATGTACAATCGCGAGAGAGGTAAGTTTATGATCCGATGCCAACCAGTTTGTATGAAATTGAGGGGATATGATTTTACGCCGCTGTCAGCTATATTCCTGGTAGATTACGGAAGCGTGTAAATAGCTGAATCTGGAACAACCGCAAAAGGTGAGTGAGTGAGTATGGTTTTACGCCGCTTTAAGCAATATTCCAGCAATATCACGGCTAGTGGCACCTTTTGTACCCATGTCGGGAATCGAACCTGGGTCTTCGGCGTGACGAGCGAACGCTTTAACCTCTAGGCTACCCGACAGCCCCCCATGACCTGAACGCAAGTTTAACAATATTGTTACATAGTGAGTGAGTGAGTTGGGTTTAACCCCGCTTTTAACAGTATTCCAGTTATATCACGGCGTGTCAGCTTAATGTGGGAGGAAAGCCCGAAGTGATGCAGGTCTCAGACGTTTACCACTTCGGTGAAACCCACGAGCACGGGCATGGTGCTGACAAACCTAGAAACATAATCGGGGCGAACTGGGATTCGAGCCCATAATTATAGGTTTCTGGCTTGCCCAAAGGACGCAACTCTGCACAGCGAATCGCGGCGCCTCAGACGACTTGGCCACCCGTGCCCCCTGTTATCTACATAGTCGCATAGAGACATATAGTTCATTTGAACAAGGAGGCGGGTCTAGTTGTTAAAGCGTTCGCTCGTCACGCCGAAGACCCGGGTTCGATGTCCTCACATGGGTACAATTTGTAAAACCCATTTCTAGTGTTCCTCGCCGTGATATTTTTGGAATATTGCCAAATCACACACTGATATGAACACTGATATGATATGTCTGAGGCGCCGCGATTCGCTGTGCAGAGTTGCGTCCTTTGGGCACGCCAGAAACCTACGAAACCCGGTTCGCCCCGATTATGTTTCTAGGTTTGTCAGCACCATACCCGTGCTCGTGGGTTTCACCGAAGTGGTAGACGTCTGAGACCTGCATCACTTCGGGCTTTCCTCCCACATTAAGCTGATACTGTTAAAAGCGGCTTTAAACCTCACTCACTCACTCACTCACTCACTCACTCACTCAGTGGAAGAGCTGGTTCGATTCGCTGATTAGTTCTGATTACGTTCTTGGTCTTTCAGAACCATAGCCGTGTTCGTTAGTAAGCGCCTGAGACCATGTGCTTGTCGTAAGAGGCGACTGTGCTTGTCGTAAGAGGCCACTAACGGGATCGGGTGGTCAGGCTCGCTGACGTGGTTGATGCATGTCATCGCATCCCAATTGCGTGGATCGATGCTCATGATGTCAGTCACTGGATTGTCTGGTCCAGACTCGGATAATTACACACCGCCGTCATATAGCTGTAATATTGATGGGTGCGGTGTTAGCCAACAAACGAATCCCACATCAAATTGACTCGAATTTCAACTATGTTTAAGGAGATTTTCAATCCAACTGATCGTGATTCTCTTGTTTTACACAAAGCATATATAAATTCAAATCCATTTGTTTCAGTTTGACGGCATGTTTTCTCAAAACTACAACGAGAAGACCGGGGCTTGGACTGTAGGCTTAAAAGCTGAGAAACAAAATGCCATTTCCTTCCACCCCATAAAACAACCAATGTTCCAATTCTCTCTGCGCATTATGCTGTTAGCAAGAACAGTACGCGAGAAAATGAAATACATGGACGTCCTGGCTAAAGAAAAATCTTTTATTAAAACATCAGGGTTCGTATCTTTTGATGACCCGGAAGTTAAAAACTGTTGGTCCAGCCCTTGTGACGTCGACAGTGGAGAGATCTGGGCATGCGTAAACGCATACGACGTTTACTCTTTAAATTCAGATAATCTCAGAACGTCCATATTACACAAAGGAAGAGCGTTTGGTTTAGCGGAAGCTCGTCATGCGCTGGGACAATTTTTGAAAAGGGAAAGAATTCGGAAACGGCTTCGTCTTTCTCCCATTTCCTATCAGCGTGTATCTCCACAAGGCGGCCTCGAACACGTGCTTATCACGCGGATCGTGAAGGCGAACTATTTGCTGTTTCGGAGCCGACAAAAATTTGACCCCATATATTTTCGTGAAATACCACCAAGGAAGAACAGGCAGGCCTGATTTAATTGGAAATAAATGATCTCATGTTTGTACTTATGTCTCGGGTGTCAATTATTTTCGTGAAATACCACCGATAAAGTTTGTTTGTTTGTTTGTTTGATCCGGGGTAGAATAGGTCTTCAGCAACCCATGCTTGCCGTAAAAGGCGACTATGCTTGTCGTAAGAGGCGACTAACGGGATCGAGTGGTCAGGCTCGCTGACTTGGTTGATGCATGTCATCGATCCCAATTGCGTGGATCGATGCTCATGATGTCAATCACTGGATTGTCTGGTCCAGACGCGATTATTTACAGACCGCCGTCATATAGCTGGAATATTGCTGAGTGCGGCGTTAAACAACAAATGAACAAACAATCCATTGAGTCATGTTTGATAAAAGTATGAAAATACATTTTTAATTCTAATATTATGAAAGAATTGGCTTTGACGTTGAAGAAACAGGGTAGGGTTTTGCATAGGTTCTTGCAACTATTTTGACCTTTTCCAAAACGATGATCATTTGCAAACGGAAAGAAGAAAGCGTGTACTTTTTTGCTAATAACCAGTGTAATGTTTTTTCTTTTGGACACAAATATTATTGAGTGATGTCAGACTCTTTCCGTATGTTAAACATATCATAGAGCAAACACATCAGTCACAATTTTCGCTTCATTTGAGATAATGCTTTAAGTAGATGTTTCAATTTTCGTTTAATAGCAGCATTGATAACACATATAACCATATGTTGCCCGTTTAATGATTGTTACTATAATTAAGCTTGACATGAAAAGGTCTGACATTGGTTGTACGTAATCATTCCGCAAAACAGTCTATATTTTTTATACCTTCTGAAAAAGGGTTCTTCTCTTACTGTTACATTACATTGAGTTACAGAACATTTAACTGCCTATCCGAGGGTGTAAAAAATAATTGCAAATGTAAGACCCGCTTGAAAAAGAGAAAAAACGAATTGTTGTTCGAGGTTTGTAAATTTGTTCACTGTCAACTTTGATCTTGCAAAATCTACAAAAAACAAATTCTTGTTTAAAATCTAAACGACACCATGATATCTGAAATTGCTTTGTCTCTTTGTATTGCCCTAGCGTTACACAAGCGGATTGGGTTTAAGACTTCCAGTGACGGCAGAGATACACACACATGCAAAGTGAGTGAGTGAGTGAGTGAGTGAGTGAGTGAGTTGGGTTGAACGCCGCTTTTAACAGTATTCCAGTTATATCGCGGCGTGTCAGCTTAATGTGGGAGGAAAGCCCGAAGTAATGCAGGTCTTAGACGTTTACCACTTCAGTGAAACCCACGAGCACGGGCATGGTGCTGACAAACCTAGAAACATAATCGGGGCGAACCGGGATTCGAACCCACAATCATAGGTTTCTGGCGTGCCCAAGGGACGCAACTCTGCACAGCGAATCGCGGCGCCTTAGACGACTGGGCCACCCGTGCCCCCCTACACCATTGTAACTACGCTAGACTGGTGTGAATTCGATATGGATGACGTGTCTTCCCCACCCCAACCCACCCCCACCCTATACACACCCCCTACTCCTAAAAAACCCGATATTGAAACCATACACTTTTAGGTCATCACCATCCGATTCCCTTTTATTTTATTTCTATCTCATGTGTGACATCCGATGCCCTTATTCACCTTATTGCGTTAAATAAGTTTGACACATGGTGCCCCGGTATTAATGAAGAACTGGTCTTATCAGCTGTCGACGACGGAAATGGATTTCCAAGTTTGACCATCATGATGTCCGATGCAACAGCCTAATATACTGAAAATCAGTGTCTAACTGTGACGTAAGCTAAGGCATTTTATAAGTTTAGGCAACTTTGGAGATACAAATTTCGAAACAATTTTGCGAGGACATAACGCCTAGCCAAGACGGATCAGTAGTGATATCTGTGCTTGTAGACCTCTGCGGCTTGAAACCTTTTCCACAAATTAAAATAATTGGATTTGGCCGAAATATGTTTGAATTGTTACCTTGTTTCGTTTTGTCGCCGTGTGTGCATCTGACTGCACTTCTTAACGTTATTGCAGGACAGGCCGACTGTCAACAACGTCTGAGCATGGCCGTGACGTCTCATAGACTAGGGTTAGAGTAGCTTCCCTTTGCCGCGAAAGGCAAGTAAAAACAAGTGTTGTTTTGCGTATATGTTGCTTCGCCACTGAATAAGAAACAGATTTCAGTTGGAACTATACTGCTCACAAGAAGTAGGGGATATTGAAATTAAAATCAGTGGCACAAAGACAGTAATATAGAGGCCTACAAATAATTTATGTATGATTGAGGAAAAGCATAGGTCCGTCTGAGCATGGCTCACAATGACCACCAGATGCCCCTGCATCCAAGAAAATTGCACCCAAACGTACCAGGGGTGGGGATGAGAAAGCACATCTTGTGTCACACGTGCAAATGACAATGTCCATGTGCCTAACGTGCAAAATGGGTGTTGACATGGGTCTTGGACCAAGTTCATCCATCACTTCACCACTTTCCACAATGCGAAGGTTACGAGAAGACGAAAGATTGAGAGCAATTGGGATGATCCAGGCCGGAAGAACGCAGGCCTACACAGCAGCACAACTGTATGTCTCACAGTCAGTAGTCAGCCGGTTGTGGGCACGGATGGGTTCAAGACAAACCCCGAAGAGGTCGTCCAAAATGCACGACCAGACGTGATGACCGGCGGATCATCATTGGAGCCCTCCGTGATCGACGTTTAAATGCGACACAGCTGCAGCAGGTTTACAGACATGCCACTGTGAATCTCATCTCCACACAGACAGGCTCCATGCTGCAGAACTACGAGCAAGGCGACCTTACATCACATTACCCCTAACAAGCGTCACAGATAAGCCCGGCGAGAGTGGGGTCGTCGTCACCAGAGGTGGAGCAATGCCCGGTGGTACCATGTGATGTTCAGTGATGAGTCGAGGTTCTCTTTAGACTTCAATGATGGCCGTCATCGTGTCTGGCGTCGTCCTGGTGAGCGTCATCAGCCAGCTGCCATGATTCCACATGGTCGGTATGGGAGGGGTTCTGTTTTGGTGTGGGGTGGAATCACGGTAACAGGCAGAACCGATCTCCACATCTCCCAAGGAAGAGTTACTGGTGTTTACTATCGGGACAACATCATCACGCCACATGTCCTGCCATTTGCACACCGTCACGGACAGGGTTTCATCTTCCAGGACGATAATGCCAGGGCTCACCGTGCGCACGTCGTCCTTAACCATTTGCGGCGGCACCAAATTGAAACTCTTCCATGGCCAGCGATGTCCCCCGACCTCTCCCCTATAGAGCATGCGTGGGATATGCTCGGAAGACGAGTGCAGAGGCGGCATCCCCCATGTCAAGACTTGCAACAACTGGGCGTGGCACTCCAAGAGGAATGGCAAAGGATTCCCCAAGTTCACATTGGTCGCATCATTAGGAGTATGAGACGTTGGTGTAATGCTTGTTTGGCTGCTAATGGTGGGCCAACCCGGTATTAACCCATTTATGAACTTTCCAGTGTCTACAAAATGAAATTGCAGCTTGATCAAAGTCATTACTTTCAAAACTGTTTCTTAACATCCTTATTTCCACATTATTATTGTTTCCCAACGAAAATTAAACATAATTCTGAAGCTTTTCGTCGTAACTTCTCAATATCCCCTACTTTGTGTGAGCAGTATATATTGGCTACTGTCACTGTCCGACTGCAAATCATTTACCCTGTGACGTGACAAATATTAATGCGCGCATTCCAGGAAAGCTTGCAATGTTTCGGTAATGTTTGTGAGAGACGGAAAGCAATTTTCAAGCACTGAGTATAAAAGAATGACATTATATGACAAAGAGGTTATCACGCTTGTGTGTTTGGGATGGTAAATATACTGCATTTGGGATAAACATTGTGTTTAGCGAGCTTTGGAATTATTCCTAATGCCAAATCCCAAACTCGCGTGATAACCTCTATATACCCATGTCCAAGCATGTTCCGTTACGATGTTCACGCGATACTTCTTTACAAGAGTTTCACTATAAAATCTTTCACCACATTTGACATCAATACTTGACTTGTAAAAAATGGATTAATAGACATTGATTCTTGCAGCTTTTGTCCAATTACAGCAAGAAGTGGCTTTCACATATGGTCCGAGTGTAGCAGGCTAAACCCGATGTGGCAGGAACTGGAGAGTTGGATTTTTACACACACAGATGTTAGAATACAACGTCACAAACGACACATTTTGCTCGGATTCCTACAAAGAAACAACGACCCTTTAAATGTGATACTAAAATTATTCCAACAACTAATATTCATATGTAGAATCACAAAAATAAATCCAACTCTCCAGTTCCTACAGCGGACATTGTATTAATATTATACCATAAACAAAATGTGTGGCAATTTTAGGCTCGTGATTGGATATTTTTACCAATTTGGGACTTTCTTTCATCTATACTATATGGCTGAAATATTGCCGATGCGATGAAAATATTAACTTACTCACTCACTCTTTCATCTATTGCTTAATTGATTCCATTTGTCCATTTCATATACATAATAAAATCAGTGTGTATTGTTACATTTTGTAATGGCTGGAAATTTATAATATTCCGCTGTACACACCTTTGTTAGAGCATGTGAGCATGTGAGCGAGTGAGTATTGTTTTACGCGGCCTTTAGCAATATTGCAGCAATATCACGGCGGGGGACACCAGAAATGGGCTTCACACATTGTACCCATGTCGGGGAGGAAACCTGGGTCTTCGGCGTAACGAGCGAACGCTTTAACCACTAGGCTACCCGACCGCCCTAGAAGATGTGATATGACAAAGCAGTTAAACATGTCGTGTAATGAAGCAATGAATAAATACTGCTTTACACAGCATCACCAATATAACAGCTATTCGAGACGACCCATTGAAGAAAATTCACATTTGCATATTAATAAGAAATAATGAAATCATGACGTTAAATATCAGATATAAAAGATGTGACACTAATAGATGAAAAACTTAAATCCATATTGTG